TGATTTTTTTTTTAAATGCCTTTAAACACATTATAAATCATTGTACCTTTAAATTTTCTTGTAAAATGTAAATAATTGTATTTTATTTGGCAAATGACAATAGAATTATGTTAATGAAGTTGAAAATTATGTGATAATGAAAAGATATAGTAATAGTGAATTATACTAAATAATCAAATAAATAGATGACATTTAAAAGATTCTAATACGTACATTTACTAATTTGCTGAGATCACGAAACAGATCTTGAATACCTTGTATGTCTTTCTCAACATTTTTAACATCGGATTCAATTGCTAACATTTTTTCCTGTTTTTGTTTTTCTTCTTCAATGGATATTAAAAACATGCGTTTTTGATTCTCTACTTCTAGTTGTTCAGTATTATCTTTATAATTTTCTTCTGGTATAGCACTAGATTTGTATTCATCTAAATCTTCATCTATTTGGACCATAAATAAAATAAAAAATAGCAAATTGGTGGTAAAATATTAAAAAGTTACTTCTAAACATATCGATTGCTTCCAATAACAATTGTTTGCTTGGATTCATTGAGTTATCAAAGATCTGTAGATCGACAACAGCAACTTGATTTCTTAAGGTTTCCATCTCCCTTAATAATGCTCTAGCGCGTTTGATGGATTGTGAGGCTTTCATTTGTAATTGACGCATACTGCTACGGTTTTCTAAACGTCTTTGCTGTGTGCAAAAACAGTTACATAACAACAGAACAATATAAATAATAGGCTGTAACCTAAACAAAACACTAACCTTGGAAAGATTGGATTTTAATGTTTTCAATGTCTCCACTTGGTAAGGAATTGCGTTCTCGACAAAGTTTTTGATGGGTAGATCTAAATGACGAATCCTTTGCTTAGTCGTCCATAGGCTCGAACTTTCAGCCATGATTATTTTCCAGAATTTCAATTGTATTATTAGTTATTCAATTTACTGCTGTACAAATCACAGTACTAACAATCGATCGAAAAATAAACGATTGAAGAAGATGTTAAATTGTTGAACCGCCAGTAAAGAACAATATACAATATTGTTTAGTAACTAATTAATTAAATTTTAACTATTAACAGTAAAAACTATTAAATAATAATGAGTTTTAAAAGTGACTACTGTTACGCATTTACGATTTAGTGTTAGTCGAAGTCTCGAAGACTCAGCTACTCAGGTGGATAAGTTGAAAATACACAAAGAAATTATGAAATGATAACAGCAATGTTTTCATATTTATCCACAGATGTGTATACATATCATCTGTGTATTTATCAGACATCGTTATCAGTTGTCTTGTATACAAATAATTTTATTTTTGTATTTACTATATTGTAGTAAATGCCACTAAATTCTGACTTCTGTGTTATTGGTTGCCTTACTTTTTCAAGTTTGCAAGCTTTTTTCACGTTTGATAATATATACTATATAGTAACATCAATTTTATTAATAATTTATTATTATAAATTATAAAACTGTCATGTTTATGTTTTAACATTTTAACAATTTAAGACATATTAAGTATAAAAATGGATTGTTCACTTTGATTTTTGAATTGTTTTTATTTATTTGTGTTCGTAGTTACGACTATATTGGCGTATGATTCAGTGTTAACAATATTTATATCGGTAATGTATAAACCAAATAAAACGAATATTAAAATATAATGATTTAGTCAAAATATAACATATTATAATGCAATAATATCTAACATTATTGAGTATCGACAATAACAAAGATTGTCAACAATTGATGGAATCATGATCATAGTAATTAACATTGCCCTGCTCATCAAAAGTGCCGTAAAAATCAAATTATTATTTTTGAGAAAAATGCAGTTTTGTATTTTTCATTTATTATACCTTTATTATTTGTTAGTCTATTTGATTTAGTATAAAACATATCCACCTTTATAGTTTTTTTGACAAGGAATGCAATGAAATAATAATTTAAAAGTATTATTCGCTTATTATATGTACAAATAAAAGTTACTTTTATATTATTACTGAACAATATAAGCTGTTAATACTTTTATGTATTAAGGATAAATGCTGTAATCAAATTTTATGGCATTATTGCTTAACAATAATAAATCGTTTAAAAATGTATTTACTAGAGTAAAATACCCTATATAAATTTATATAAATAAATAATTTAAATATGGCAACAAATTATATCAATCACAATAATTATAAACACGAGTTTTATTACAAATTAATAAATTTTATCGTTAAATTAATAAAATTAAAATAATTGTCTAATAATTATGAATTGGATAATGCATTATAGTTTTATGACTAATTAATCAATTTTTTTCCAAATAATATTGAAGATAAMAATTTGTAAATTATTAATATAATATATTGCTGTTACTTCAGAAAAAAAGTCAAAATGTTAGATAATAACGCCGTAACTCAGGTAGMACATAGAAATGTTATGTTAAAACACTGTATCTATAATTATATGTATAAATATATTTACAGCGTTTATGCTTAGTAAGAGTAAGATGCGGCGTTCTTACTTAATACTTCTAATTTATTTTGTTACCTACAGCGTTTTTAATCTAGATAATTGATTTTATTGCTTGTTTAAAGTAATTTTAGGTATATTTTATATTTTTATTTACATTTATAGTGTAAAACTGATAAACTTATCAGATGCCGTAACATATATTGATGCTGAACATAAATTGAGACGATAGTTAATGTATCACTCATCACACAAATGATTAATATTGAATAGATACCAATGGACTTGTAAAGTTGTAAAAATCGAAAAAATAAATACATCCATATAAATGCATTTTATATGATAAGTATATTTGCTAATAACAGAAAAAAATATTGGAAGAATACATATTATGTGGATAGTAAATAGATCGATTGTGAACTCAAGTCTTTCAAGTTCACAGGATTAGGTATCAGATGTTGTTTTATTGCGTGACATTTTTTTATAGTTGCTATTTTTAGAATAATATGGTAAGTGTAGCCGTGTAGATGTCATTTCGCAGAATATATTTTTTAATGTGCAATTTGTTATTGTTTACTCGTTAATAATTTCATTATGAATTGTGATTGCAGAATTGATAATCTTATTAAAATGCCATCTGATTCCGTTGTAAAAACGTCACTTATAGTTGGAGGATTAACATTTCTGGGTTTTATAGCTGGAGGAAGACTTGGTTCTATGTTTGGTAAGATTCTTCAATTATACATAATAGATTTATTTATCACATGTTCATACAAGAAGTATAGAAACAAGTCAATGTCTTATATTTGTATTTATTTATAGACAGTTAAAATAAAATATTACAATATATGAGTTATGAAGTGTTTTATTTTAGGAGCGGTTATTGGAACAGTTGTTTGTTCAATGTTGAATATAGAAGAACCAATGAGAGAACCTAGAGATGAAAATCCTCGTATTACACCTTATTCTCGCCCAATCAGTTCAAATCGGAATAATGAAAATAAAGTCAAAAAATCTAAAAGTACAGTTATATTTAAATGTATTTATTGATTTTTTATTATAATTACAATATTTTTTTGTTTATAGATGAACCATGTGAACCATCTAAATGTTCTATATGTCTTGAACCATTTAAACCTTCAATTGTATTATTGCCATGTAAACATATGTGTTTTTGTGATGAATGTTTTGAAAAAGTACAAAGAAAAAAAATGTCTTCTTGTCCAATTTGCAGAAAAAATATTGATCATTTTATGAATGTGTATTACTCATAAGCTGTATTCGACCATTTAAATTTGCTAGCAATTTTTTTTAAATAATAAAACCGTATAATTGCTTCTATTTGAGAATAGTATGTATTTTTTTTAAACACTTGTTATATTTATCTAACAAATGTGATGTACTTAAATATAATTTTAATTTTTGTAAAAAATACTTAACTATGTAAAAAAGAAACGAAATAATATAATTAATTAATAATAAATGATAAGGAGAGTAACAATGTTTTCTGTTTAATTTTATATTATTATTTTATCTGTGTATGTAATATATTTAATATAAACATTTACTTATAATTAAATTATCAATATTTAAAATTCAAGTAAATTGACTGACTGATACAAAATGAGTCTATTAAACACATTATTCTAGTATTTAATAGGAATCCTTTTTATGGGGCAAGTATAGATTTGAAGTATTTGGTGATATTTTGCCTTTTCAATAACTAAATATACTTAAAATTTGGTGATGTTTATTATGTGCTGTGCTAAATACTAAAAACTGTAAGACCGTTTCCAACCGATACTGTATAACCCAATGTTGAAAGTTATCATGTGAACTCACTAGTTATTCATGAAGGGTGTACACAATGGGAGTTCAGAATTCTAAGTGCATTGCGCTGTAATGAGCCCATTCTGTAATAACTTAAACTTAATGTACTTGGGAAGAAGTATAACTATTGCAAATCGCTGTGAAAAATGTATATAAATAATAATTATAAAATTATTACAAATTGAATATTCCGACGTAAACAGTTTTGCTGATACTTATTCAATAATATTCACTTGAACACAATTTGCTCATAACCGCTGTGATGGATCACATATCAGATAACTCAATGTCAAAATAAACTTTCACAAATACTGCCATTTCCGGAAATGTACAATATATCTATTCATAAACAAACAAGTTTGTAACCCGCAAACATTTTAGGGGATTACACGTTTTACGAAAACCACATAACATAACTAATCTTATTTTAACAAGTATAAAAGTTAAGTTTGTTTTATACAAACAATCTAACTAGAATAAATTCTTCAGTATAAATTTTAATATATTTATGACCTATTAATTCTGTGTCTCTATGCTTATTCAGTAAGGCCAGTCCTACAGTAATCTTTCTTATCCAATTGCTGTGGTACCTATTTTAAAGTTAAAAACATCATTTCAACATCAGATGTCGTATGTTGCTGTTAATTTAGGCRAAATTCTCAACACATTTAAGGCATAATTGAGAGYATTTGAAAGGATTTTTTGTAATTACAGTGACACATGTACAAAATTCATCTGTAATAAACATTTTAAGAAAATGAAWACCCCCTATTTATAGGCCTGCAAAAAATGCAAATGTATGACATTATGTGATTATAGAATAAAGTGACCACACACAATTTCTCTCCACTCTCTACCAAAAAAATAGGAAAAACTTAGTGGTGACAAAAAAATTGATTGCTTAGGAGTCTCATAATCGGGGGTATTTGAATTTCGAGTGTATATTCTTAACAATACTATAATGAAATACCGCAGTGAGGATTGAATATATTATTTTATTTTAGATTTTGAGAGGAGCGATGAATGTTGGTATTGATTTTACAATAAGGCTTTATTTTGTGTTTTTTATTATCTTTTGAAGCTAGTTAATGTACATTAATTTTCTATTTCATCAATTTTTCTGGTAAGAAAGTACTTTGGGGAGGAGGRAGGGTCAAAATTCAAAAATTTCAAATAGTTTTCAATAGCATACTGGAAACTGTATAATTTTTTGAAAAGACAAATATTTAGTTATTTTTAATATCTAAAAGGTAAAAAAGTGTATTTTTTTTATTTC